CCCTCCCCCAAATACAGTAATCGCTCGCTATATCATTATGATCATCAAGTTATCATATGTTGTGTTGTACTGGTGCGCTGTGGGGTGTGGGCGATCTTAGTGAAGAACTTCTCCTCACAATAGATTAACGCATTCTCGTGAGTAGGAGGCGCTAATGTGGAGGAATACGAGATCATACTTGGACAAAACGGTGGTGGTGATAAAATAATTGCCAACAGGCCGCGCTCGAAGATATAGGGGAAATGAGAAGAGACGAGAATATGTTCTCGGGCTCTATTTTTTTTATGTTAGTTAAAATCGACATCCTCTCTATAAGTAAAGAAAAGTAAAGCGCAACCCAGCCCCTCCTCCCCTTGAGGGCAGGGATAGGGTCCATTAGATATGTAATGGGGTGGATAATTGCTTTCCACCCCACAGCCCACACACCAAGTGTAAGACAAGCCTCCCTACGCGCAAGCCAACCCCACTCGTGCACGCCAATCTGCTTTGGCGTGTGGGCCTGCAGGCCAATCTGCTGCTGGCGTGCAGATTGGCGTGCACGAGGGGGGTTGGCTTGCGCTTATCAACCCCCTTTTAATAACCCATCCATGTCTCTTGACTGGATAAAAAATTATCACAATCAATACATATCTGATTGATCCTATTCCTACCTTCCAGGAATAGAGGCCTAGGTTTTCCTTTACCGGCTATACTTATTCTTAAAGAATATAGATTTAAATAAATAAAGAAATAAAAAGCTATCTCTTATTCTCTTCTCTTCTCTTTTCCCCTATCTCTTTGTATCTAGTCTTATAGTAATATATTTTATTACTACTACCGATTTTGTCCAGATTGATCTCTACGTGAGGTCGACAGCTGACACGCTGGAGCCGGTACTGCGGTGGGCAGTAGTAGTCAGCTGGTCTGGGTGGGGTGGGATTTGTCGGAGGTGGAATGTTGTTGCTGAGACCGTGTGGTTGGCGAGGCGTTGGTTGAGGTTGAGGGTAGACTGCTCCGGAGCCAGGTGGTGTGACAATGGGATAGAAGGACTGAAACCCAGGGCCATGTTGTGCCTGGGAGCCTTGTTGTTGTGGTTGGGTCCGGAAACAGTTTCTAGTCGACATGGGGCGTGCACAAAACGGGCAGTTGCGGAGGAAATGTTTGTGTGATCTACATTGCCAGCACAACCCGGCCTGCATGGCCATAAAATCATGCGCATCTGGTTGGTTGTCTGGGTGAGCCGGGAACTGGGGAAGCTCAGTCTGGGCGTCGGGGAAAGGTTGCTCGGGTTGTTGGGCCTCTGCTTGCATGACTAGGGGCGTGGGGCGTTGGCTGTCTCGGTTGATGGACTGAAATTGCTGTTGGCGCCTGATAATGTCGATCAATCGGACCATTGACTCAAAACTCATGGCCGGGCGTTCAGGTGTCGCCGTTTGAAAGTTGATCTCGATCTGGCGGTTGAACTCCTCTTGAAGTGCAGGTTCGGAGTGGAGACCGTTTTGCAATACGAGTCCGGCCAAATATTCGCGGGTGAAGAGCATTCTGGCGTCAGTCATTTCATCTAGAATGTTGGCAATGTGCGTCGACATTTGTGCGGTCGTAGAGTGGTCCACGACGTTGAACGAGATGAGCCGTCTGAACAGGTTCAGCTGGGCCGCCCGACTGACCAAGTGGAATCTGGCGAAAAGGTCGTTCCACATCGCATGGGTGCTCGGTAGTCTGGATACTCCGCGGCGAAGTGATCGGTGGACCGTGTTGACCAGGAGGGCTCGTCCGACTCGCTCGTGTAGTAGGTTTCGAGCCGGTTTGTTGAAGAAAGAAACTGCTCCAGTGGCCCCGTGCATGCGCTCTTCAAGGAAATCCTCCTGAAAGATTTTGGAAACTAAAGTTTTATTTCTTTATTAATTCATCTTTTCTTATAACATGAAATACAATATATATTGATAAATGAGAAAAGGCTTTTTACCTAAAGGCAGAATAGAATCTGAACTAGGTAAGATAAAGAAATAATAATGATAATGACTTGATGGTTAAATGCTATGATCGGACAGGTATAAAGTAACGATCTAGAATAAAAGAAAACATGTTCATTAGTTTGCTATTTTATCTTTTCTCTAAAAGTATAAATAATTTGATAAAGAAAATAACTGTACTCGTTCTTGAGACTAAGTTATTTCTTTGTTGATTGTTATTTAGATTGTTCGGTTGACGGTGCTATTTTATAAGCATTTCTTTGGTCAGTTATATTGTTCTCTTTCTTTGAAATAAAGAAAGGCTATAATACTCACCGACAGACGATGAGGAGATTCTATCGATGAGGGTAATCGACGTATTTCGGTTGATTGAACTAATAATGATTGTTGAAGCGAATAGAGTGATTGTTAATGATTACTCTATCTGCTTGATCGTTGATCATCGAGACTCACCTAGAGCTCGATGATTGACAATCATCATTATTTAGAATCATGACATCATTGACGTCATTTCCTCTTTCACAAGCTTGTCGCTTGGCTATGCTATTGCATAAATTATGTTCTTTACATGATCGAATAAACATGATCAGTATAAGCTTTAATTCTCTAGGTAGCTTCACAATCTAAGTGTGAGGCTTACCTGCTACTCTCCTCTTTCGAGGGCTATGTTGAGAACTGGAATTCCAACAGTCGTCCGTGCTTCGAGTCATCAGATGTGAAGCAGAATTCGAATTCCCATAGATTCCCAACACCTTCAAGGAACGTCAAATTGTACATCGACCGACAGATTTAGTGAGAAAATCGGCCGGATTTTCATTCGACTTGATGTAAAGAAGCATTAACAATTTTGATTGAACGTGTTCTCGAACGAAATGAAGTCGTATGTCCATATGTTTTGTACGAAAACCATTCTGAGACGTTTCACTGTTTGCCAAATCTATTGCGGCTTTGTTATCGACATAGATTGGAATATTAGACGGTGATTTAAAAATCTTGATTTCGTTAACCAAACTAGTAATCCAAACTACTTCTCGACTGAGATCAGATAAAGCCTTATATTCTGCTTCTGCTGAGGATAATGAGATGGTGTCCTGCTTATTTGATTTCCACGAGAGAAGATGACTTCCATTCATAACTACATATCCTGACACTGATCGACGTGTAACAAGACAGTTCCCCCAATCAGCGTCGACATAAGCCTTTAAACCGGAATCTTCTTGCTTCTTGTACGTTAATCCAACTTCTCGTGTTCCTGATATGTAACGAAATACTTGCTCTGCTGCATTGTAATGCGATAAACCAGGTTGCTCCAGAAATTGCGACAACGCACTGACCGCATAAGATATATCGGGTCGAGTTAAAATACTGAGATAGTTCAGGGAGCCAACAATCGATCGATAATTAAGATCGAGACGTTTGAGAGCCTCTTGATCTTCTTCCGTTGCCTTGTTTAATTGAATTCTAGGATTCAAAGGACATGAAGCTGGATGAGCGTTTTGAAGATCGAATTGAATTAATTTCCTTTCAATATATTGTTGTTGATTGATTTTTACGGATCCGTTTGATCGAGTAATGTTCATTCCTAAAAGAAATTCAGCGTCGCCCAAGTATTTGACCGCAAATTCTTTTTCAATCTCCTCCTTAAAGATCAAAGGATTACGACTGATAATAACCAAATCATCAACATGAGCATAAATCCATGTCAACGGTTTGCCGGATTGATTTCCTCGCCAAAAAACACAAGGATCCGACACGCAAATGTTGAATCCAATTGATTTAAGAAAATTAGACAACCGCTTGTACCACACGAGCGGCGCTTGACGCAATCCATAGACCGCCTTCTTCAATTCAAAAACCATGTCTTCTGGTCCTTCGTACCCCGGTGGCGGCGTGACCGTGACTTTATCCTCCAGAGGACATGTTAAAAACGCACTTCTCACATCGAGCTGATGAATTTTCATGTCGTTGTTGACAGCAAAAGAAATAAGTAACCGAAGTGAACACGGTTTCCCTGTTGGTGCATACTTCGCAAAAAAGTCAAGGCCGAAGGTTTGTCGAAATCCTTGAACACAAATCCTTGCTTTGAATTCCGTAACTTCATTATTTGCTCCAAGCTTTTTACGAAAGGCCCATGTCAACGGTATCGGTGAGTCATCGCTTCGTCTCTTTCGCACTAGCCAAGCCTTATGCTGATCCATGTTCTCGTATTCCTTCTTTTCAGCCTTCTTCCACTCATCGATTTCTTTCCCTCTCATCGCTTGATTATGAGTTTTCGGTGCCGTTGAAACCAGAGCAGTACGTCTAGAATAGGATAATATATTCGACTCATCAATATCACCACTAATTATTTTACTGTTATCGATGTCGTTTTGTGTTTGAGCTTGCTTTTCCTTAGCAATTTCTTCTTGAAGAAGCTCGTCTGAATGATCTTCTTCAATATTTTCTTCAACAGGTAATTGATTCTCTTCAAAAGGTAAAACAGAAGAATCTTGAAATATCGGTAAGTCATTGGAAAGCTTCAAGTTGTTTAGACTCTTGTTCAGTGCGGGACAAATTGGAAAAACATCTTCTTCAAAGTAGGCGTGCTTGACATTGATTATTTGAAGATTATCGAGCCGGACTACTTTGTAAGTAGAATAATCGTTCGAGTATCCAATTAAGACACCCTCCCATGACAAAGAATCAAACTTTCTCTCGTGATGAACTTCCGGTTTGAGTGACCAAACTTTGCAGCCGAAAGGACGAAAAATTTTGATATTTGGTCTTTTCTTGAATAAAAGTTCAATTGGCGAAGTACGGCTCTTCGCGAGTGATGGTAAGCAGTTCGTGACTGCACAAGCAGTTTTCACCGCCTCTGCCCACCATTCCGGCGCTAGATTGGATTGCATAAGCATGCAACGAGTCATGTCGAGGATTGTGCGATTTGCACGCTCCGCAAAACCATTTTGTTGAGGAGTGTATGGTGGCGAAACGTTGTGTTGAACTCCACTTGCTTCGAGTAAGCCAGACAACTTCTTATTGCAAAACTCGCCTCCACCATCTGTAATTAACTTCTTCAAGCGATTCCCAGTTTGATTTTCATAAAAGACTTTAAATTTTTCAATTGCATCAGGTGCTTCACTCTTCTCTTTAAGAATCGTAATGTTGATAAATCCAGTAAATTGATCAACTAAAGTCAGAAAGTATCGCGCTCCGCCGTTTGATGATGGAGTAATTGGTCCTACTAAGTCACCATGTACAACTTCGAGAGCGGCCGAAGTTGAGTCGAAATGATGTTTAAAGCTTTTTCGAATCAACTTTCCTTTCATACACGAATCGCAACATTTTTCCTTCACTAGCTTTTCGTCAGACGGAACAACAATTTTTAATCTATCCGTACTCGCATGACCAAGACGATTATGCCATTTTGTAAAGCCGGAATTTTCAGTCGAAACTGTAAGCATAGCGATAGTTTGATGATGAGGAGGAAAAATGTCGCCTTCGATTTCAAAGAGTTGATTGGATAAATTAACGTTGAAGAGTTTTTCTTGATTGTTAGATATTACTTCATAGACATCACCGACTCGTTGAATTAGAATTCGTTCATCGATTAGTTGAGCGAGAGAGATAAGATTTCTCGTTATATTGGGTACAAATAAAGAATCTTTCAACGTAATAACTTTGTCATCGGCCATTTGAATCATTGCTGTTCCTCGTCTAACAGCAATAAGTTCTTCTCTTGATTTTCCATCACCGGTGACGATAAAGATATGAGTCGGTTCACTGTCGATGAAAAATTCAAGAGAATTGAACATGTGATTACTAGCTCCTGAATCAAGAATCGTTACCAGTTTATCTTGAGGCAAAGATTGTCGAACAGTGCTGCAATATCCAAATGAAGGAACCGCATTTTCATTATTCGCATTACTACTAGAGGATTGCTGATTCGAGTTGCTAGAAGTAGCCGTCTGAGTAACGGTAGCTCTTGATGATGGATAAGCTCGAAAACGTTTAGGTCGTTTAGTTGGATTATCGTACCAACAATTCCTTTGACTGTGAGTGGTGTTCGGATCATGACCATTTTGACATGGATGCTCATAATCTTGCGAAGAAGACGGTGGCGGCGGAGGAGGCCGTTTTCCTTTTCCTTTGGAGTTGGTTGACAAAGCCGACGTAGAACTGCTAGACTGTATAGTTCTTTCTTCACGCTTCGTATACGTCTGTTCATGAATCGCAAGAGTACGCAACTTCTCCAAGAGTCGATAAGGATCAGAGACGAGAGCTTCATCCAACATCAAGTTCTCCATGAGATCTTGTTTTACCGTAGTGACTCGACTAATGATGCACACAGCAAAGAGATCTTGAGTAACATCATAGCCAATCGTCTTGAATTCTCCTAAGCAGTCTAAACATCGATCGACATAAGAAACGATTCCTCGATCACAGTGAATCGTGTCCCATAAACGCCAGACTTTGCAGAGCGAAAATATTGACTTTGATGCGTATTTTGTTTTGAGAGTTGACCAAACAGAGAAAGGAGTTAGATTTGACGATAATTTGAATATAGAGTTATAGATCGAGTCGTCGACTACTGAGCTAAGATGAAACATAGCGCAAGAATGTTTTGCTTTTGTCTCGTCGCTAATTGGTAAAGGTTGCTCGTGAAGACAGACATCGATGAGCTGACGAGAATCGAGAAAGTAATGCATCTTCGACTCCCAAATCGAATAGTTTTCTCCTGTCAATTTGGGAACGGCGCTAATGCCTTTGTCGTCCATGGCATCTTTTCGTGAGAAAGCTTCCATCGTCAGATCTTATTCTGCCTTAGTAAAGTATCCAATAATCGTAAGAATCGAGATCGTTGATGAGAATCGTCGAGACTGTAAATCTGAAAGATTTTGGAAACTAAAGTTTTATTTCTTTATTAATTCATCTTTTCTTATAACATGAAATACAATATATATTGATAAATGAGAAAAGGCTTTTTACCTAAAGGCAGAATAGAATCTGAACTAGGTAAGATAAAGAAATAATAATGATAATGACTTGATGGTTAAATGCTATGATCGGACAGGTATAAAGTAACGATCTAGAATAAAAGAAAACATGTTCATTAGTTTGCTATTTTATCTTTTCTCTAAAAGTATAAATAATTTGATAAAGAAAATAACTGTACTCGTTCTTGAGACTAAGTTATTTCTTTGTTGATTGTTATTTAGATTGTTCGGTTGACGGTGCTATTTTATAAGCATTTCTTTGGTCAGTTATATTGTTCTCTTTCTTTGAAATAAAGAAAGGCTATAATACTCACCGACAGACGATGAGGAGATTCTATCGATGAGGGTAATCGACGTATTTCGGTTGATTGAACTAATAATGATTGTTGAAGCGAATAGAGTGATTGTTAATGATTACTCTATCTGCTTGATCGTTGATCATCGAGACTCACCTAGAGCTCGATGATTGACAATCATCATTATTTAGAATCATGACATCATTGACGTCATTTCCTCTTTCACAAGCTTGTCGCTTGGCTATGCTATTGCATAAATTATGTTCTTTACATGATCGAATAAACATGATCAGTATAAGCTTTAATTCTCTAGGTAGCTTCACAATCTAAGTGTGAGGCTTACCTGCTACTCTCCTCTTTCGAGGGCTATGTTGAGAACTGGAATTCCAACACCTCCCAGGCAGAGAAATTTGCACCGTCCGCTGCGAGTAGGTCCGCGTCATCAATGTGGCTACTGGCGGACGAGATAAGGCTTGCGGCTAGTCGATCGATCTCCACCTGTTGCAGTCTGGCGGCTTGTTCTTCAGGATTCGGGGTGCGGCGTGTGCCTCTCCCTTCCGTTGCCGCCCCTTCATCTGCTTGATCAGCGACATGTGGCGGGTGATCACACTCCTGGTTGTTGGTTACTTGGCGGGTCTGCTCAATTGCGGTGGTGTTGGGGGTTGAGGTGATAGGAAGGTTTCCTTGGGGGTTGTTTGAGATAATGCTCGGGTCGGACATGATGGGATACGGACGTCGGTGTGGAAGTGGGGTAAGGGAGAAAGATGGAATAAAAGGAATGGAGGGAAAAGAAAAGGAAGATGGAAAAATTGGACAACTGGTGGTGAGGAGGATGATACGAGATCAGGAGAAGAAACGGAATAAGGAAAAACGATGTGGAGACCAGGAGAAGAAACGGAATAAGGAAAAACGGTGTGAGTAAGGTAAGGGTTTGAAAGGAAGGTGAGTTGGGGTTAGAGAATACAAGAGGAAGAAAAGGACTAGATTCGGGAAGTGGAAGATTGACGGGTGAGAAGCAAAGGAAAAGGAAAACAGAGTTGAAGGCAAGAGGGTAAGGTCGATATTGCAGGAGATGGTAGAGTTTGGTGAGGTCGGTCCGGTCGGAGATAACAAACAAAACGTGGACCCTACGCCTGTTCAGCCCCTTAACCTAGCGTCCTAGGTAAGGATAAACCGCAGATAGCTAGTCTTTGGTCGTTTAATCAGGAGTAATGATCTAAGTTAAGTTCGTAAGTCTGATATCGGAAAGATTTTGGGTATATCACAGGAAATGAACTGTAATGTCAGGTCGATTACGCCCTACACTGGGCTACCTATGAGATTTGATTTTTAAAGAGAAAAGAAGGCTATTTTGAGTAGAAAAATGTTTTGTATTTCAGCGAGAATTTTTATAGGTGCTCATAACCTGATGGAAAGTGAGACTCAGAAGACAAAAGAGATGAATGCTTTTCATGTAGATGAACGACTCGAGTTTATATACATGCTATAGAGAGGGGTCTAGGTGAGACCTCCCGGTAACCCCTTCCTGGGTTACAACAGGTCTTACCTCCAAGAACTTGTCAACCCGCCCAATCAGGCCTTCTAGACACAGCTGAAGCCCTGGTGGTTGAGGCTGAGGTTCGGCAATGGAATTTTTCGCTACAATGTTGTACTCATTCATTTCTTCAAGGGTTGAGTATGGCCGGAATGCTAGAGATTTCTTAAACGACAAGTTTCATTGCCCATGCAAAGTTCCAAGAGTCAAGGAACAATGGGAGATTGACTCAACTCTCTAGTGTTCTCAGAATGACACATTCGCCGTGGAGAATGGCAGGAGTCCATACGGCTTCCATGGCATGACCAAAATGACACTACAAAATCGGTCAGCTCACCAGTATCGTTCCGTCACCTCGAACCTCGAAAGCTCAGTCAAGGCTGGGCCCTAGTACTAAGACCTGGGAGGGCGTTCTTGGGTATTTGGGCGCGCCCACACCCCCTTCGCCCCAGGGGGGGTACCGGCGCCCAATGTGTGTTGAGCCAGTCCGTGACCGGCGCCGCCATCCCTACCAGTCCATTCCCTCTTCCGCCCGGAGGGGGGATGCAAGGTAGCGCGCCTTACGGCCATGGTTTCACTCTCTGCGTGAGGCGGCCGGGTCGGACTGAAGCGCAACTTCGGCCTGCGCCCAAACGGACGTCAAATAACAGTCCTTCCTCTTCGGATTGCTCACCGATCAGGCCCGGCTTGAGTAGATTTATCAAGTGCGGAAGCTCCAGGTTGGGGTGTGCAGGTGTGCACGGAGCAGTCGAACTCAGGGTTTGATCCTACGAGTTTCATTTACAAAAGACATCGGATGAGGAAACAATTCTTCGGCCATAAAACACGATCGAGTAGTACATACATATCATTTATAAACTCCTTCATGAGCCTTCATCACCTTCACTCGGACCCGGCCGTATTTGTATGCTTTTGAAACTGCGTCTTTCCGTCGATCGCGTGATTTGATCCAATTCTTCTTGCTTTCGTAAATTATCCGGATGTCAGGACACCAGTAAAGACAGGCGCAAAGGCGGCGACAGCCGTAAGGAGTCCAGTTTTCAACCCTGAACATGCCCCTTGATCCAGAAAAAGGCATGTCGATGTCCTAATTATTACATACAGGCACAAGTTTGATTGTCTGAAACCCCCTAGTGCGAACCAAGAGTAGGGGACATCCCAGTAGGAAGCGTCCGTGACCCCACAGGGGCTCCATCCGACATCCTCTATCCCGCTTAGCACTTCGTCTTGCAATTGTCGCCAGGACACCAGCCCGGAATTTGACCCACCCAGCGCAAGCGGAAGCTCTCAACACCCATCGTCTACCGATAATCGCCACAGTGCGAGGTCGAACCGGCTTCAGCGTATAAAATAATCAATATCGATCCTCAAGGCTCAAGGAAACCATGCTCGCTCGAATAGTCGCAGCTTGCCTAATTGGCTCCATGTTCATCTTCATTTCCGCCTACGAGTCGGGACCGGAACGGATCGGTTATGAACTCGCACTCAGCGGCACGGAACCTACCCAGAAGATCCCCGAAAAATGTCGGTGCGAAGCCGAATGGCAAAAGACCACGGCATCTCAACCCTGTAAGAGCTTGCTCACCTGTGATCGAGCCGGCATACATGGTCACTGTCCATTCCACAGTTACGTGGAATATTTTACATGCAGCAATCCGAAGTGCAGCGGCAGTGCAGGCCCCATCTTCACAAGTTGCAAGTACCCGCATCAACTAGGCAAGTGCGACGAACCAAACATACCTCAAGCCCTAATCAGGGGGAGGCGCACACTAAGCGCTCCTCCCCGTCTTCAGGACGGACACTGGTGCACCTTCGACACCCCTTCAATTTGAAGGGTTTCTTGACTCTAGGAATTCAACATCATTATGAAATTCAACTTAATACTTTCAAGATTGGATCCATGTTTCAGGGTCCGCGTGTGTTGCATCCTCCAAAAAGACTTGGCATGACAAACAAAAGAAAAATACAAACAGGAAAAATAATATAGGCTTTGATAGTAAAATCAAACAGAGATCCAAATAAATTTTATGAGTAGATTATAAGGAGTTATAACCAGAGAGTATTGATATCCAAGTGACAGGGGGAGAATTAAATTGTTTGATTATATAGCTATAATTTCAGCTGCTTCCAATGATTGATGATGGGTGGTTATAAACCATTTAAGAGTAGTTAAAATATGTAACAGAGTAATTTGAGGATATATAATCTGTGATAATGGAACTGAGAAGAAACCAACTCAAGGGAAATAAAATATGTGGCACACACAGATGACCGATAGCCAGTATTTCATGGCAAGATCAAACTTAATCATCAGGAGTTAGAAATAACAATGCCCCAGGCTGAGCTCAAGACAAACATGATATTTTAATTTAGCTGACATGTCTGTAATCCATAATGTGAGCTAACTGAATTAGAAACAGGAGTGCATATATTGAGCCTGGATGGTAAACCATGGTGAATTCGTCAAAAAGGGGATCTGAAGAAAAATGTTGGATTCAATTTGATAATTTGTGGCTTGATATCTAAAATCATTGGTGACAGTATTACTACTTTCATGCACATTGAGAGCCCAGGCCACTATGGAAAGCTCAGAAATCTCATCTACATAGAACAGCTATGGTTTGTATTTGGGCCCAACGATAAAATGGGTGGTAAAATGCTAGTTTCCTTTATGGAGTTGACAGGTGGAAGTGATCTGTGCATGACTAACTTGGTTCGTGCCGGGCTGCAAGAGCCCAACCAAGAAAGCAAATATATATATAAAAATGCTGCAATCAGCGTGATCATTCCATACATCAACCCAAGCATTTTATTGTGTGAAATCGCTCACAGTAAAAGTGAGTGAATGGAGTGGACAACACCACATGCTCTGGGGGTTCCTGATGCATTGGAAGTTTGTGACAGTCGAAGGTGGTCCGTATTTGGGTGAATGGCCCACTTCAGCGGCGACATCCACTGGACAAAATAAAAGACCGACGCTCTGATGAATGTTCACCGGTTACAGATGGTTGGTTCTTGTCATATCAGAACCGGCTTGACTGTGACCGTTGGTGTAGTGTACATACTTGCGTAAGATTGCCATCACCACCAAGCAACGTACCACACCACCCTTCCGAGTTGGATCGAGGACAAGAGAACACCGTGGCATCGGCCTTGACAAATCCTTCCAGAGCTGCCATCAAGGAAAACAATGCACCGGATTTGGGGAGCTGCATCGGGTTTATAATGTCCAAGGAGTGCGTGGGAAAGACCATGCTTTCGATGTGGTTTGGGGGCCAGAGGAAACTGGGAGATCATCAGCCTCGCCAAGAAGCCTCAAACCTCCCCCCATAAACAATCGCTAAAAATCCGACAGATTGGAGGCGCTGGGTCGGGGATTGTACATTGATGTCTGAGGATTGCGTAAGAAATGAGCTGGGGGAATTTGAATGACTCTAAGCAAGAAGGTGTTTTCAGAGAAGTACATATCTAATACTTGTGGTTGACGAGTAGCTCAACGAACCATTTGTGGAGCCAGCAAGCACCTCTTTTGCATCCGTCTTAGGAGTCCACCATTCAGTATTTGGATAAAAATTAACCCTGCCTAGTGCGTTTGCATAAATGGCATTATGGATCGATGGGCTAGTGCCCAATAAATACGGCAAGATGACTTAGGAGCAGTTGGATGTGGCACTGTGACCGGTGTTGGGGACCAGACGAATTTTGCAATTCTACAGAATCGAGCCATGGAGGTTGATCGCCTCTTGGGTACATAGCTCTGAGGTCACCATTTCAGACCTGCTCAGACCATGGTGATGAGAGCACGTACTTGGTGGTGTACCATGCACTGGAGCCATCTTGCCAGTCTTGGGATTGGGCGTCTAAGCAACTTACCGGAAGATCCGTCAGATTGCAGTACATGGAGTTCTTCCAAATTACGTGTTCATAAAATGCTGCATTTTATGAGGGATGACATAGTACACCCTCCCATATACCGGCCCATAGCAGGAGATCATCCAGATGGATTGAGCATTAACGGAGCCGGCTTATATTAGCATGCCCGTCATTGTAGACAGTGGCTCGACCTTTACATTTCAGTGGGCCTTAAAGACCAGCGATCAAGTCACGACTATTGAGTGTTGCACGTGACGGCAGTTGATTGTCCATGATCATCGACATCAGCTTCGGGCCGAGAACAACCACTGAAGATTAAGTTATTGTTTACCCTTTGGATTCGAATGCAGGGTTGGTTCCCATTCTGTTCACTTCTCCATCAGCGCTCTACCACAAGCCTCCCCAAACAGCAGCCAATTTGCTGCTGTTGTTGCTCCGAATCCCATGAGTTCGTGACCAAAAAAGATAGATTGATTTGTTGACCTACTATAATGAATCCGAACGCCTGTCTATGCGTGATAATGTCAATGCCTTCTCCTCCAGTCTCCTCCTTCCGCCGAAGTTACACATACAGCCCACACGAGTTCAATTTTCTTGTTTTTCCCTATTTTAAGAACAGAGGAATGGATGGAAACAACAAAATGAGAATCAATTAAGCTGAAGAAGAAGAAGAAGTTTTGTTGAACACAAATCAATCAACAAACAAGCCAAGAGAAGATTTGACAATACCATGAGAAGAGAATGAATTGAAGACAGGCCCGAGAAAAAAAAAAAAAGGGGGGGGGGGGTGGGAGGAGAGAAGGAAGACCACAAGAAACAAAAATCAAGCTAATAAAACGAAGTTAAGAAATTCTGAATCAAGGTAAATTGATGATCGATTTCCAGAGCCAGAGCGTCAAGCGCAGGATCCTGATGAGGAAGATGATCACGAGGAATCGGAAATGAAGGGGGAAGATCAGAGATTGAAGCCAGGATACGGGATTGAATGTTGGACGGGAATCGTTTAAAGATGGTGATCGAATTAAACAATCTGAGGAGGATACTGAACCAAGCTTTAAATGAAATGACATTAAAATGATCATCATGATCATCAGCATTGGGTCCTGGTTTTCGATTGAGATGATTGATGAATAAATCGTCTCCAAAGATTTCAAAGCCTTTCAAAGTCTTAATCGACTTGGGAACCAAGAATGACAGCAAGTATTTGAACGTTCTGATTTCTGGATTCAGGTCGACGAGATCCAGAAAATCCGCATCGATTTTCTTGCGATTCAGCTGTGTTCCAAGTCGCTCGTTTGGCTGCTGCTGATCATCATCATCGAGTTTGTCCAACTGAATTAACCTTTTGGAGGTGATTGTTTGAATCAGCTCGAATTCCATCAAATCATCCTTATACAGATTCAATCTTTCAGTGATGAACAGATCATCCGGCGGTTGAAGCAATTGATCCAGATCTGACAAAAAAAAAAGGGAAACAAATAACAAGCTCATTGATGATTAGCTTGTGCAACAGTGAGAAAAGACTTGGGCCAAGAAAGGAGACTGACCCGCTTGGAAATTGTCTCTGTTTAACAGCGTTTTGAACCCAAAGAAGGCGTTTAGACCAATCGCAAGATGCCACAACTTCTCCAAGATAAGATTGGGCACCAATTCGAGCTGAAAGCAGTGTTGATCTTCATGATTAGGTTGGGAGTCTACTAGGCTAGAAAAAAACTTGGTTTGATCCAAGCTCTTGATCAATGATGATCGGATCTCATCATCATCATCTTGGATCAAACTGATCAATAATTCAAGAATTCGTAATTTGATCCTCGTCGACAAAACTCCATCACGTTTAAAAACTTTCATGAATTCTGATAATCCTTGAACTGCGGATAACCTGGTCTCTGTACTCTAAACAAAAGCAAGTATTCATGAAGAAAAACCTTTTTCAATCAGTTTCGAAAGGAAGGGAGATGGAAATTGGTTGTGGTGAAGCAAGATAAACAGATTTCAAAGAGTCCCACCTGATCTTCATGGGCAGCGCGCTGAATTTTATCCAGAATCTTATCTTCCCAAGCACGAACAAAAGAGCTATCGATTTTAGAGTTCCGATCGACGAGCGAATTGACGAAGAAACAGGCGGAAAGCACGAGAAGAGCATCACGCATGGGAATAGCGAGGGTTGAGTTACACTCATTGAACAGCTCTTCAACGGGCCAAACAGTCGTTTTCAAGTCCGATCCGATCGTCGTAAGAAGCTTCAATGCGGGTAATCGAACGGAGATCGGATGAGTGGATTGACGGCCAATGCGAAAGATGGCGTCGATGATCTCGGAATCATTCAAGGTCTCCCGGTTCTCCTCTTTTTCCAGGAACCGGAAAACCGTCACACGTGTCGAGGTGGATCCCTCCTCCAATAGCTTCAACACCGTCTCTCGTTCTTGGTTTCTTCCCAGGAGGTTCCGTGTTGCCTGAGTCTCGTAGGAGCTAAGCGCAGGCGCCCTGATACGCCGCAGCTCTTGAATCTTAGCTGTCATCATGTCCGGAGAAAAAAGACAATCGTGATCATCTACTTTGATCATAAATCTACTCTCTAGGCTTTCCAAAATTTCCAAAAACGTGGATTGGGAGACCAAGGGAATCGTCATGGAATCAAGAAATTTGGGCACTGATCTAACAAGAGCTACTTCAACTGTGGTTAAAAAAATATACTAAGTTTAGTCTCAAATCATCAACCCTTTTTTCGAAGAAAGACGTGCTTACTGTTTGACTTTTGATCCCGCAATAATGCGCTTGGTAGTTGAATCAATCGGTTGATAAGAAGTAGAAGTCCATGCACCTGTTTCATTTTCATTTTCATTTTTTTCCGAAAATAAAAAGAAATGACAGTTGGCAAATCATGAAGACATAGCTGCCCGGGTCATCATCACATCGATTGCACATACTTCATTATGACAGTGTGATTTGACAGCTTGATCGAGAAGATCACATATCAGACCAGGGACTTGAGAGCAAGGGATGAGACCTGTCATCGCATCAGCGCCAACAGACCTAACCTGTCGAGCGAACAAAAAGAGGCAGTGAAAATGATAAGAATAAGCACCAACAGCATAACAAATGGGAGCATGTATGTGGTCACCTTAGAAACCTTACTGAGTAGACAAGCTCGAACAAGCGGAATGAACTCGTTGGCAGTCGGAGCATCATCCGGATTTTGAAGGAGGGCCAAGAGAGTCAAGACGGCAAACATGGGGCCATGCGAGTGGCTCGTGGATACCAGATGAATCCCGGCCTCCATAGATCGTCTTAATTCTTGCAACAAGATCGAAGGCATCGTGGGCAATCTTCTAGAGAAATCTGATGTTCCAAACAAAACACGTTCAATCAATCTGATTGATTCTTTACCCTTCAGGCAATTAAACATACCTGATAAGCTTTCCCTTTTGCATAGATTACTGTAAGAGCGATCCAACGTGAGGGATCGTGTTCCAAAGACGCGATTAGTCAAGCCAGAAAACAAGATAAGGGCGCCATTGCGGACCCTCCAATCGGGCGAGATGAAGGTCTTGATGGCCAGATTGTAGCTCCTTTCGATCAAGACAGAGGTGAATTGAGCCGAGACCTTGCCGTCGGTGAGCAAGATTTTGAGCGTATTAAGAATGTGTACTTGGACTTCAGAGGAGATCTCCTGGTCTTCGGCCAGACTCAAGATCGCACTCAAAGACTCCCTCAACTGATTCGGACTCGACCGTGACAGGGCTTGACATGCTGATAAGATGCAGTACGGCATCCCCGCACTTCGACGGGTCGTAGAAATCTTTCGACTGGTAATGGCAGAAATGTGTGCCTACATGTATTCATCAATACTCAAGTCAGCGTGGTAAACATTTCCATTGTTTCAGAGGATTCAGACGTGCCTGGAGCCATAGAACCGGAAGTTGGGAGGATGTCGATTCCATTGGCAAGGCGCACAGCGCATCACATAATGCACTATAGGATGCATGGATGGCTCCAAAGGCGCCCCGATGCCTGATCTCCAGTAGCCATTGTTCAAACAACTCCCCAATCTCTGTCAAATCCTGGTAGCTGAGAAATGTATTCCGATTATCGCCAGCGCTCTGCTCCTCAGCAATAAGTGACAGCTTGATAGTTTGCATCAATAATGCGCTGGTGAAGGATAGATAGAAGCACACGAATGAGGTTATTTCAACGACAGTTTAAATGTGTGAAAAATACTTGAATTGGGAATCTCACCTGGCCTCCTTCATGCTTCTCCAACAAGCACTGAGGATCGTTTTGTGTCTATTTCCCAGGTTCCTATCCGCATCATCTTCCAACTCATCGCCATCCTCTTCAGTGGAGATGAATTCGAAAGCGCGAGCCTCTTCGTGGTCAGGCACCACATCACTTTGTCGATCGCTCGACTGACATAAGACGATCGCGCTGGATGACCATACTCGAAGGATTAACTTCCTGGTCCGATTCATGATCACGATCAAGTCGTTTGAAGCGACCAATGAGACAATCATGTCTTGCGAGAGACACTTGAATAGCTCGCTGTAATGAACAAGAAGAATCAAGTGAGACTCTTGAGTAGATGACTCGTATGTAGTGGCGTAAAAAGGTGACCATCGAAGAAAATCGTACAAACCTCATAAGCATAATCGATCCTGCCATGGGTCGCTCTTCACAAGCTTTACCAAGGTTGAGCTCAGATTGGAGGACTCTATCTTCCAAATCATCCAATCTACCAACCAAAAAGATAGCTATTATTTCAAAGAAAAAAGAAGTGAAATCAGAGCCCGATCTCTCCTGCCTTCGCAGAGAAAGCCTTCGCAGAGAAAAAGAAATGTAGTAACAGGTTCGGACCAGAAAAAAAAGGGGAAAACCAACCAAGTGGATTAGTAGTTTCAGAGTGATTATTATTGCGAGGAAGTAAGAAAGAAGGGAGCTCGAAGTTATGAACGAGTGAGCTTTTCAAGACGAGACGAAAGAGAAGGGCGGCTGTTGAATTCTCGGCCTCTCTACTAGAATTGCAACACTGAACGGCAAACGGCATAAAACGAGGGATCGATTGAGAGTCCTGCTCTGCGGGAGAATCGAGCGTGGAGAAGCTAGTTTTTTCCAAGAGAGTGAATGCGGCTTCTCGGACGTCCACATAAGTGCTTGTGAGGGAGAGAATGAGTTTGTGGAAGAGAGCGCGATCGACGACTCTGATCTCGAATGGAAAACTGGACGACGGCTTCTTGAGAAGACTTGCTTGATCATTGTGATTAAGTGATGGTAAGGAGGATTTCGTGAGCGGCTGATAGCGCGGATCGAGTCCAGTGTTCAGTAGGATCTGGAGATATGTTAAGGAGGCCATTTGACATCGATAGGGCGAAGAGATCGTCAAGTTACTCCGACATAATCTCATGAACTTCTCGATGAAGGTCTTTACCGCTTGAAGATAACCCTCAGCTTCATCAATCAAGATCTGCAGTTGCGTGGCTTCAAGACCGTTCCCAGCAGTAGTTGTCTCAATGGCACCCACATGATTATTACTCTGATTCAGATTAGACTTTTTATGGATCAATTCTCCCAATTTCTTATTCGAAGAAGTCGAAGAATCTCTGAGTCTATTGAGGAGTGCGTTCAAATTACTGAAGATGTTTTGTTTCAATTCAGCCTCGACTTCGCCGAAATTCCAGACGAAGAACTGAAAGATCAAATCTAAATGAGGGAGAGGTAGGGGCGAGGTCGGGGCGGTAGATTGGCAGATGATAGCTAGAGCGGAGGATCGGAGAGATACGGAGGGATGGGACAGCGCGACTTTGAGCAGATCATCGGGGAGCCAAGGGTCAACATGGTTCCGATCTTTTTGGTGAGGGCCGCTCTGGCGAGGATTGAGCCGGGCTAGGGCGATGATTCCCGAAAGATGATCGAACGCGTTCTTTGCAATGCTGATCTTTTGAAAGCGTGGTCCACTGATCAACGAGAGCCTCTCGGCCAATTCCATAAAACATACAGGCCGAGTCTTGAATAAAGGTAGTAGATAATATTGGCATAGATATTGTCGTTTACGTTCCTCAGATGAAAACAAGATCGAGAAGACGGCCGAGATCCAATCTGAACTGAGGTTTGTAGAATCAGTGATTGTTTTGGAGTCTTTCGAATCCCATCCTTCAACTTTTGTCGTCCAATGAACGGCCAGTTGACCAATGACCGAAGCCAATTTATCGTCGCCGATAGAGTCTAGAATGGTACCCAGGAATTCTGCGGGACCGGCAGCAAATAACCGGAAGGCCTGCAGGGCATCCTCCAAGGACAGGTGAGGTAGAAGGTATGATAAGATGGATAGTGAGCGTTTTTCGAGTAGGATGGATTGCTTGACGGACTCCAAGAAGAACTGGACAGATGATGACTGGGGAAGATTGATACGAGAGTGGTTCATGTATTCGAACAAATTCTTGAGGGCATTCTTGATCTTGTAGGAGATCGTTGGAGAGGGTGCGTTCCAATGGGCCCAGATTGCTTGACTGATTTGGCGCAGGTTCTCGGGTGGAAGGATGCTAGGATTGGGATTGGCAGCTTGCTTTGCCTGCGAGTAGTTCCGCTTGGTGGATTTCAATTTCCGGAAGACGAGATTGATGACCTCGAGTGCCAAGGCGACTTCCTCATTCCTACTCCCAGCTCGATTGTCTGCTATTGTTTCGATCGGGTCTTTGGTGCTCGACTGTTGGCCCTCTTCTTGAAGGAGGACTGCAAGGGCGGGAGAAGTTAGCTGAGTGGGATCATGACTAACATATCCTTGGGTGAGTAAATTCTGGGCGTTGATGGTACCAAGATCCGGGTGATTGTCTGATGGATTGCACTTACATTCTCTCAGCAATACTTAGATGACTGGCTTCCCCATCCTTTGCACTACAGTCACCAGAACGGGGCTTGGCTTGAGGTTGAGTTAATTGAACCTTCAGTTCCTCCAGGACTTTAATCTGTGGTGTGGTCTTGATCATCATTTCTCTGCATCACAGGAAAAGGAACATTGAAGCAGTCAGTTTCTATTAGAAGAGATCTAATGTACACATGAGTTGGAAATAAATACTTACTCTTAACCCATCCACCAAATCTGAGTTGGAATATGTAGCCTGTTTCATTCACAACTTCTTGGTCTTTCTTCAACTTCAAGAGGCCATCAATGCAGCAAATTGCATATTCATTTTGAATTTGCGCAGCCGACTGGCGATCATGCGATCGGAACGCAGCTACAGCCGATAGCTTCATGTCATGTGCTGCAGAGTTCAGAATCAAGGTTTAAAGCTTCCGATCGACAAGTTGGACGCCTCATTCCCGACGCTTTTTGTCTTCCGAATCAGCTACATACATAACCAGAGGAAGTCTTGATTGTAAAGCGAAGCATGTATTACCAAGTAGATTCCAAAGATTCATGTCTCCCCCCGATTTTTCGATGTACCTCGGATCGAAATCCTGGTTACCGGTCCCGCAGCATCCCTCACTACAGGCAAACAGGTGACGCTGCGGCCCGCAGCGTCACCTAACCCAAAGGGGCCCCCCTTGGGTTAGGTGACGTTCCGGGCGGGAGCGTCACCTAATTGCCCGTAGTGCCTGTCATCGTCTAGTGGTTAGGACACCAGGTTTTGAAGCACCCATCTGGGTCTGAATCATCTGCGTCCTGGTAACTTGGGTTCGACTCCCAATGACAGGTGAAAGTTCCGATTCTAGGTCTCTCTCTTCAAGCTGAGCCCGGCATTTTTGTCCTGGCGGTTGCCCAACGAATCCAACGTGCGTCCCACTGTCTTTTTCAGAGCTCTTTTGTGGTGGACATCATTCATATACATAAACGGACTGAACTTTTTTTTTTTAAGTGGAGCTTAGTTATACGAAAATAGGAAACTATGCATTGTTGTTCTAAACATCATTGGAGGACTTCCCGTCGCCTAAATTGCTTGATCTGGAAGGGGGTCCTAAACTCTATTGGCTGGTGAAAACTTGATCTTGATCAATTTTCGCCAGCAAATAACGTTTGGGATGTCCTTCTAAATTTACAGATTTGGACGACGGGAAGTCCTCCATTCTTCGGATCACAAAGCTGGAACCTTACTGACGAGTGAACCTGCTGAAAGCATCGTTCTCCGCTTGAGAAATGACATCGGTGACCGACTTGTTTGACATACATAACATGAGTATGTATTATATTATGGTCGCTTTTCAAAAGAAGGTCTTGAGCGCCAAGTCGAGCGAGCTCGCGACAAGATGTTCTTTCCATATCCTGACCGTTCTCAATCGCTTGAAGTCTTGATTTTCGGTCGGACAGGATTGGAGCTTCGGGATTGCTTTCAGTGACAGGTTGTTGATTGAAGCTTCTGAGCCATATGATGGCCTTATAAGCAGCTCATGTGCTCCATGGAGGTCGATGCCATCGGGATCTCGCTAACGAGACTTATTAGGGGTTGGGTGGGTAACGGTTGGCTTCCTCGTCCGTGGAGAGGCTTGACTTACTCTGATGGCCGACATGCCGTCATTAGGCTTCCAATTATAAGCTGGTCAAAGGCTCCTCCAGCTCATTCAATCCACTTCATTTCAGATCTCGTGTTCATATCAATCGCGGCTCGAATGGATCTCATCGTCCGAAGATGTCCAGCAAGAAGGCGTCAAAAGCTTGCCGGCAGCTTCCGCTGGAGTCATTTCCCGCAATCGTTTATGTCTGTATAACTGATCGGTAAAGCCTTAGCACTCCAGCGCGCATACATGCAGGTGGCCACATATTGTAGCCCGGTGGACTCGGGGCACAGACAAGTCGACTATATTCCTAATATTGCTTCTCGGCCAGTTTCAGTCTGGCTCCCTGAAACCGACAGAATGTCTCTCTAGATAATTGTTCGAATTGCCGGGTTCACAGAGACCAGTAAGATGGAAATGCCCCACTCATATCCGATTCCGTTAGTCCTAGTAGCCACTGGAGTGAAAGCCTTCAACATTTGCTGACACCGGACGGATGAAGCTATCACAAATAATCCTGCCACTGATCAGCTTGTTGCTGCAAGGCCATCATGGTATGCAACCCGCTGACGAGGCCGCTCATGTCCGAAGAGTTGTCGAGCACTTGATCCCACACACATCTGGACAAACGGGTAAATGTCAATCCCTTTCCCCCCCTGCTTCCTTCGAGAATCCTTTTTTTTCATCTTTCGGTGACTGTCCAGTTCTGGCGGATTGATTTTTAGAGACCCGATTTGATCCAGAGTTGCAATCTGTCTTTACTCCCAGTGCCCAGCAAGGTTAGTCGGAAGAAGAACTCCTTCGGTTATCACGAATGCAAGTGTCCAATAGAAGCCACAGACAGCTGAAAAACGAGTTCTCATCTTTCCATGAAGGTCTAGTTGGGCATTCCAACGGTGGCCATATTGTGATAGATGTTATTGGCGATAGTTCCCCGTCGATCACAAGGCCGGCCGATTTTCGTCAGCTGGATTTCGAGACAGGAGCTCATGAAGCCCAGGAGACCCCTGCCCGCCAGAGTGAGTCTTGGTTCCTTTTCCCTCCTCCACTCTTCTGTCTATGTAGCTGTGGACCATTGAATCCTGGAGAGGTTTGAGTAACCGGGTGTTTGTATTGAAACACTCTGAGAAAGTCGTCAGCTTTGCGGAAAGAAGTGGCCTCAATCAAAGAACTGTTCAAGTGAGCGGCGAGAACCGGGAAAAAGCAAGCCTCCCTGATAATATCTCCTCTAATGTGAGAGGCTTGGTAAACCCTCGGATCCAGAATACAGCGCAATCTACCACTGTCGGTGAGCACAAATTAAGCCAATCTTCTCCCAAGTCCGAGCACTTTATAACCTAATTTTAATATGATCACAGTTCAGCCAATCAGCCAAATTCCTGAAGCACAAGTATGGAGAGCGTTGGCGATTTTTGTTTGTTTTATTTCAATGATAATCCCATTCAATATGTTGATGGGGCAAATGCGATCATGATCTGACACATATGTAACACCAACCAACAAAGCATTTCACATTTTCAATTTTCAAAGAAAACCCAACAAGAATGATTGGCCGTCTACCAAATGAGCTTCTTTTCTGCAACTCTATGTAATTGCATAAAAAACGACTTTCTAAAACAAACCAAACAAATTCTACAGGCTGATCACTGATTTTTTTTTAAAAAAGTGCAAGAGGTGCGTATATGCGTATAAATGAGAAGGATTGAGAAACTACATGAATGGAAGCAGGCTGTCTAATAAGGAAAAAAGGACCATTTAACAACGATAAAAAAAGTATCTCAAGAAGAAAGTAACTGATTCTTGAGAGAGATCCAATCAGCACTAGATTCACACATCTTCCTGAACCGACTATTAGTGTCCTGAATCAACTCTTTAGGAGAGCCTGATTCAACGATCCGACCTTCCTCCAAGATTATCAGCTTATCGTAGTCTATTGTTTATACCAATCAAACCGGGGAGAATGGAAAAAAAAGTAGACATATGGATGAGGAGATTGGATTTTATGCCAAGAGGATCAAGAAGTAACAGAAAGGGGACGAACCGATGACAGTGAACAACCGATGAGCAATAGTTATCACCATTGAATCACTCATACACTCTCTAATAGTTGATTGAATCTAAACCAAACAAGAGTCTCAGCAAGCTCCAGAAGGATGTGAGGGAGGGGAAGAGCTGAAGAAGAGTGGAGACTAACCAAAAAATCAGTTGCGAAATCAATTGATGCAGTTGCTTCATCAAGAATTATGACTTTTGTGCTCCTTAACATTGCCCTAGCCAGTGCCAACATCTGTCGTTGGCCGACACTGAAGCTCTTCCCGCCCTCACTGAGCTTCATGTCCAGCGACTTCAGCGCAATCCTAGCCGGCTGGGCCGGGACTTTGGCCGGATTACTATCACTCTCTTCCCCCTCTTTCGCCGCTGGTGCTGCTCCCGTTGATACTGGCTCATGCGCTCCAAAGATTGCCGTTGTACTAGCGAGACCACAGCTTCTCAACACTTCCCAACATTCCTCATCGCTGTGGATGTGCAAGGGATCTAGATTGTCTCGGACAGTCCCTTCAAATAGTGTCACATCCTGACTGACAATTGTCTAATAAACCAACACCACCATCAGAAAACTTTTTTTTCTTCGAATCCTCCATGGTATCAACCAAGAAAGAAAAATAAAGTGAAATCACTTCACCCACAATACGCGTCCTCAAATCTTCTAAACCTATTCGACTAATATCAATCCCATCCAGGATTATCCTACCTCCTGTGGCTTCAAGAATCCTCAGCAAGGACATTGCCAATGTGGATTTTCCTGGATCAAGGAACAACAATGAGCGGGAAAATCACCAGTGGTTTATTGGTTGGGAAGATGCAATTGAGAACTCACCAGATCCGGTTCGACCAATGATTCCGACTAGGATTAACCAACACAACATAGGGAAAAGGATGCAAGTCAATCATCAGGAAAAATTGAATGGACCCAGAAATAAAAGTGCCCCACCTTTTTCTCTGGGTTTAATTTCAAATGAGATTGATTTAAGAGCCGCCGGTAAGTGATCAGCGTATTTGACGACCAAGTCTTCAACAATCAAGCCCGACGAATCAGAGGGCCAATACGCGGGTGGTCTGCAGCTATCGATGATGGATGGTGCTTCCTGAGGAATCTTTAAATATTCCGTGATTCGTTCAACAGCTACCAAAGAAGAAAATACACAGCCATTCAGGATCATTAATTCAAACATTTGGAAAATTTCTTTAAAAGGAGATATCAATGTTGGCTTACCATTAAAATCTAATTCTAATTGTGCAAAGACTGAAACTAATGATCTAGTAGCTTGAGCAAAGATTTCGGCTTGTACCACACTGATTGCTGCAAATCCTTCGCTAACTCCAGACAAGAGTGCAAAAGAGGTGGTCAAGAAGACGACGACTGATCCTAAACCTACCAACAAAAATATCTTCTCAATCAGCATCTTCTTCTTCGCTTGTTCATATGTTTACTTACAATCATATCGCCACATTAACCAAAAATTTGTCAACCAATAATGATGGTCCATTGCTGTTTTCCAAATGTGAAAAAAAGGCGGTTAATGATGGACATTGAAGGATTTGTTTGGGAATCATTAGAAGACCAGAACTGACTTTGAAAAGTATCACATGAACTGAAGAAAAGATTTTGATATCGATCTTCAGCAGCATAAGCACGAATGGATTGAATCCCAAACAAGAGCTGCACATAAATGTGAAAAAAGAAGCTACAGTCAACATCAAACAGACAAAAGGTGTCTGATGATCTAGAAGAAGTTGGAATTCTTACATTGGAAAAATTTTGGAACATGGGAGACCTCGATACTGATTCCAAGCGCCTCAAGTCTCTGGAAGTTTTGATATAATTAGGGCCCAATCGAATATACAGCCAGGCGATGAACAGTGCAAATGGGGTGAACGTGGGGACGACCAAGATAATAACGATGAAGGAAATGAGAAAAGCGATTGTTCCTGGATTTTGCACACAAAACCAAGTAAGATCATCTTGATTGCTGTCACTCGGGTAATCAGACATCTCTAGCAAAATGTTCAGTCAGTCTCTTACCTCGGATTGCTCCAACAGAAGTCTCATGTAGAGCAAAATCCACAGTGTCTATATCTGAGACTAATCTGTTCAAAATCCTTCCAGTCTGGAATCAGGATATACCGTGGGTTAGCACATATGAGCATAGCCCTCCCTTATGATAAATAAAATTAAGAAAAGTGTGCTCACCGGCGTAACATCATACCTAATTGATAATTCAATGAGAAATATAATCAATGAGCACCTTTTTGTCAACCCCCCAAACCAAAGAATGTTTCCAAAAAAGCTCCTACCATCGAGTGGGTGCCTTGACAATACGTCCCAACATAGCCGAAAACAATTTTCGAGAAGCTCTCAATTCGGCAAAGTTCCCAACGGCCAAGCCTATTAAGTTCAAGACGCATGGACAACAATGTTAGGAATGATTGGACGTCTCTGAGCCTTTTTTGAGGATGATGAAAGTAAAGGAGAAGAAGGTGAAAGAGCTGACCGGCCAAGATGACAAATCCAGTAGTCAATCCTATCAACGTAATCAAATGAAATTAGCCAGCAAATGTCAGACTTGGATACCCAAACACCCTTCACAATAATCAGAGAAGCTCAAGCAAAGACTTACCAATCATGAGATACAATTGGATCCAGGGATTCACATTGACATCTGGTCTTGGGAAACCTTTTGTAGGATCATAGATTGCAAGAAGCTCAAGTGGTGGATGAGGATAGGCTTCTCCCCAGAGCTGTTTGTCAACAGTGAATGAGGAAACACACAAAGATAAATTCAGCAATGTTGGAGGAGAATGAAGAGCTCAATAAGACATTTTGCATACTTTTAAGGCCCATTGAGAAGCAACAGCTATAACATTTTTGAGACCCAAGATCAGTTCTAAATGCTTATTGTCAAAGGGGAAGAAAAGTGAGAGGCTCACACGACAGCCGACTACAGATCATCAATCCACATAACAGGGCCCAATTAAGCCAACCAGCAGCATTGAGATAACTCAAGTAGGTTGAGCCACTGACTCTTCCTTCTTGGATTTTCTCTTTCTCGATCAACCGACCATCACCTTCAACACATCCATCCTCGGGTTCCATTGATTTGGAGGGCTTGGGTGATTGTGGACGACTGGTGGAGCTGCTTGATTCGGCTTGCGAGCCAGGCTTGGTCACTTCTGTTGTTGGGTCATCTAGAAGCTCTGTCGGGTCAACTTTAAACTCGGTTGCGGATCCCGCATAATCTACCTGACCACCTTTAACATGAACCAGTAGTGAGGCTGCTGGTTGACAAAGACCAAGATGGTGGGTCACAAGCACCTATGATTTTAATCCAAAGCTTCAGTTTATTTTTCTTCTCTTGATGGCTTGAGGGCTTGGATTATAGACACTGACCACTGTTCGACCTTGGAGAAGATCTCCTTGAAGAGTTTCAACTAGATTCTTTGCCGTGAACATGTCCACTGCTGAGAGGGGGTCGTCCATTAGTAGTATCTGCAATGGCAATGAAGATAGACTTATGCTTCAAACAAGGAACAGCTAGTGGGTGAGGGTGGAATTCTCCACCAATCTTAACTTACCCTTGCCCTTGAATAGATAGCCCTAGCAAAAGAAATCCTGTATATTTGGACTGCAATCTCAGAGATGTTCAAGATATAAATATCTCCACCTGAATTGGACATACCTTGCTTTTTGACCACCAGATAGACTAATGCCCCTCTCGCCAATTTCTGTGTGAGCAGAAGTGGATCAATTAGATAGAGATAAACCAACTCGGACAAGCCAGAGACTCACCAGTCTTATCACCATGGGGCATGATGGCAAGGTCCTGAGTTAAAGCACAAGCAGCAACCACAGCGTCTACATGCACCAATCACAAAAACACATCAGATTGTTGTCGGATGAAGGCAAGTTGCAGAAGATGGTTTTTAAAGGTTGCAGAAGAGTGTGATAGAGAAATCCTGTCACCATATCGACTTTGATCAAATTCGCTCTGGAAGACAATGTTCTCCCGAATTGTAGCAGATTCCAACCAGGCTGTCTGCGATGCATAAGCCAGCTTACCGTCCGATTTATTGACAAGTACAGAGCCCTCGATACAGTCCATTTCTATCAACATACAATAACTTTGGTCATTGAAATGTAGATGATAGAGCACGGCACAAAAGGAAAGAATAGCAAGCCCCAGAAATAAGTGAAATGGTGACTGACCTCCCAAGATAGCAGACAGGAAGCTAGTTTTACCAGACCCAGTAGGGCCTGTGACAATGGTTAATTTACCTACCGGTAAGTCCAGCATTACAGGACCCAAGATGAACGTCTCAGTTTTCTTTGATTCTTCGGATTGAGGCCAAGTGAAGGATGCTTGATTGAAGCGAATCGAGCCAGGTTCCAACTCGGTTTGTTGGCCATCCTCGTCCTCTTGCCCTCGACTCAGACTGGTCACCCAGGCAGGTACGTCTTCCTCGGCTAAGAACTTCTCGATCCGTTTTACAGAAACCAAGGCTAGTGATACGCCCAATTTCATTATATTTCAGCACATGGAAGATTGTTAAAGGTTGAAAGAAGAAGAAGAAAAAAACTGGATTGCGCACCTCTCAACCAAGAAGTGATTTGATTAGGAAGCTCCTGGAGCGCCCATTGAAGTTGAGTGAAGAGAGAGATCGAGGTGAAGGCAATGCTGACGGTAAGAGGTTGATGGAAGACTGAGGTGAAGGCCCAGAATGAGATCAACAGGACCGCGGTTGGAACAAAAATCCAAATGAAAGAAATGATTGCCGAAAGGATCATTTGTTTGATCCTTAATGATAACTCTAATTCTCTCGAGCTTTGAACCTTGTTTTCCCATTTATTTTCTGTTTATAGGACAAAACAAATTCATTGTGGGGGCTTGATCAGCTTGGATTATTCGGATTTCTAATTAATTAGATTCTCCAGCAAGAGACTCACCCCATCCCATGAATTTCAGAAAACGAATAGCTAATTCGTTTACAAAACAAGAATCGTGAGTTTTAACTCTATAAGCCACAGCCAGAGAATGGATACTAACATTGAATAGTTTCAGTAGCAATTGTCATCCGTTTATCACGCGCGTGAGAATATTCTCTCGAAAACTGAGGAATCACCAACGTCAACCGATCTCAACATGGATATAGAGCCAAGCTTGTTTTGTTGTTTTCCTCCAATTCATGAAGCAAGAAAAAAAATCGGAATACAGCTTACCTTAACATCAAATTTGATCAACGGCCAATTCAACAAGTAGGCTATCCCGACCATTCCCGCGCCAAAGAAAGCGCTCCAACCGAGGAGCCTTAATTATAATCAGGAACGCAAGAATGAAGATTATTTGTCAGTTTTCTATTTGGCAAGACTAGGATTGGATTTTGGAAATCGGGAATTAAGTGGGGGTGGGACACTGTACTTGTAAAGGAACGCGAGCGAGATCACAAGTCTTAATGGGCTCGTTACGACCGCCGCAGAATGCCAGAACTGTTCTGCTACTTGATACGAATCTCCAGCCATCAGATTGGAAATCTACAAAAAAGGACATCTTCATCAAGAAGTCTGTTTTCGTGAGAGCGGATGGAATTTAATTTGAAAAGAGGGATGGATGACCTTGCCAATGTTTGCATGACTTTGGTCATTTTTGTCAGCTTCATCCGAGTCGGATGGGTTTGGTTTAGACAAGACAACTCCACTCATGTCTTTTCTTCTAAGAGCTTTATCATGAAGGATGTTGAACAATTGGCCGCGGGTCCTTTCGTAACATCTCCTACAAGTGTGACCGAAGATTTTTGAAGAAATTCAGTAAGCTTTGTCCACGGAGTAGAGCCTACTGAGATTTGGAAAAAAGAAAAAGAAAAAGACCTAGAGTGCCATTTTCCACAGAGATCCAGCTGGGCAAAACTCATGTTACATAAGAAGTGTAAGATCGCAAACTTGAATGACAGCGCCCTATCTCCAAATGAGAGCCCATCTAAGATCCGTTTGATTGCATAAGTGGACACAAAGCCGACCACCGTCGACCATAATTCTACAGACAGGCCGATGATCAAGTCCATCGAATTCGAGCGGATTAAAATTCTTATCAAGCTGAGCTTTCGATCTTTTGATGCATATTCTTCCCTATCAAATTAATAAACAATCCATTCTTTTTGGAATCAGTATCACCCATGAATTCCTTTTGGATAATCTCCTCAAGAATATAAATCATCTGCGCTCTTTTTGTTTAGTGATTGCTTACTTGATGAGTCTCTGGTATCGAGCAAACAAGATTCGGTGTTGAAAGAAAGGAGAGAGTTTCCAGACGTCTTCTTCCTTAAGAGTTCTCTGTTGAGAGAGTTGTAAGAGAGGATCGAGGAAAGAGAAGGACAGCCATTGCCACAAGGAGGTTGAGTCTTCGGGACACGTATCTTCTGAGGATGGAGACTACATTGGAGACCAATCAGGGTCAGACAGATATTACCACGGAATCATCAGATGTACAAGAAGAGACAAGGGACGACCACTCAACTGCTCCAGGTTTGGCTACGTTCTCACATGGCAGAACGTCCAGGATCGGGTACGAACCGGCTACGTAAACCAGCCCCACGATCAACAAGATGTTGAGAACCCTCCAGAGGATTATCCATTTTGACGGCCCTTGATCGGCTTCTATCGAGAATGAGATCTTCGCCGCCTCTGAGACTACTAGAGATGTCCAGAGCAGTATGAGTGAGTAGACTGGGCGAGTGATAGTGCGTAAGGAGAGATAGATTAAGGAGTATGACTGTCCAAAAAAATTCATCCCAATCAGTATAGGACATTGAGTAGGATATTTTTGAGAGAGACTTACCCAGACTATCATGGGGATAATAGCCGCAGCAGAAAGCGGATGAAAGAGGGAAGGAAGCTGGACGATATGGAAGCTGAAGCTGGCCAAAGCAGGGGGCAAGAGGAGCGCGGAGCCGGCGAGGAGGACGGACTGTTTCCATGGAGGAGGGGCGATTTTCACGAGCCGGTGGGGGTCGGGCAAGTCGTCGATGGTGATGAAGGAGCCGAAGAAGTGTCCGCCGATCAGCCATCGTGGGATCCGTACCAGCGAGAGTAGGCTGATCAGCAGCAGGACTAATGGCAGCCAGACCGTCAACATCGCTGCTAGCATCGACTGGCTTTCGCTCTCGAATCCTTCTCCTCCTGCTTTTCCCTCCAATCTTCTTGCCTGGTTACGGAATAGATGATAGATGTAGTCCTCCTGTGGGGGAGCTGATCCGTCTTGCCAGATCATGTTTCAATAATTCTCATTCAACTTGGTTTGTGTCATCGGTTTCCTTCTCGAATTTTAAATTCCAATCTTCGTATTTCGTTTTCTTTGCTTTCTTTTTTGTTGAGCTTGAGCTTTATCTTGATCTTAATTTTTTTTTTTGCTTTCGTTTTTGTGGTTTTGGGCTTGTTTGTTGAAGTGGATGTATTCGGCTGGTTTGATGACTGTCTGTCAGTGTCGAGATCCAAGGAACACCACTTTGCAGTTTGATCGGAAAAATGGGTGACAGATGAGGGTCTGTGACAGCTGGTGTGAACCCCAGATGACACTGTATGTATCGCCTCCAGTGTCCGTGACACCACCTCTAGTCCGTGACATCCCCTCTCTACACATTTTTTTCAACAATCCGCCGATTCCCAAGAGTGGTCAACAGCACATCCCTCACCAATTTCACAATGTCGGTACTCATCAAGACCTGCGCGGATATCATCTCAGAACTCATCGAGGCCCACCAAGCAGGAAAAGATGTCAATCTAAACGGGGTCCGACAGAAGGTAGCCAAGCGAAACAAAGTAAGTCAACTGTCCGATCCTATAGAAGTTACATTAGCCTATTTACTGAAAAAGAGTCACAAAATGCGGGGTATTTGTGTAGTGTTCGCAGTTACCCAGATTAGTCGATATCATAGCCGCCGTCCCGCCTGATCTTAAGCCGATCCTCTTGCCCAAGTTACGTGCAAAGCCGATCAGGACCGCATCCGGGATCGCCGTGGTAGCGGTAATGAGCAAGCCTCATCGATGTCCACATATCGCGATGACCGGAAACATCTGTGTGTCAGTACTCTCTCTCTCTCTCTTTCATCCTTATGAACAGATCATGGACCAACAAGTACGGGTTTTTCGATGTAGGTATTGTCCCGGTGGTCCAGACTCAGATTTCGAATATTCTACTCAAAGTTACACTGGTTACGAGGTTTGTCTCTTTCTTGTTTCAACAAGTTCTCCAGATTTTTTCATTCTAATTCTCGCGAAACAAACCAATCATTTTTTTTCTTTCATAGCCAACTAGTATGCGTGCTATTCGCGCTCGTTACGATCCTTATGAACAGAGTCAGGGAAGGGTCGAACAGTTACGCCAGCTGGGACACTCTGTAGACAAGGTCTGCATTTCTCACACATTCTATCTTTTTTTCTAAAACACGTCTGAGCAAAAAAATACTAAACCTAAAAATGATGTGATATGAGCCAGGTTGAATTTATTGTGATGGGAGGGACGTTCATGTCACTACCGGCGAGTTATCGGGACACATTTATCGCCCAACTACATAATTCTTTGTCGGGATACACAGGCACGGATCTGGACTCGGCGGTGTTGTATAGCGAGCTAGCTCGGACGAAGTGTATTGGGATCACGATCGAAACCCGGCCGGATTACTGTCTGGAGCCCCATCTGACGAGCATGTTGAGGTACGGCTGTACGAGACTCGAAGTCAGTCCCTCATCTCAGCCCTTCACCCACCCAAAAGGTTGCTTACATCTGGCTTGCTCAATCCTAGATCGGCGTTCAGTCGGTCTATGAAGACGTCGCTAGAGATACTAATCGTGGTCATACCGTCCGAGCCACATGTGAATCATTCCAAAAAGCCAAAGATGCTGGGTTCAAGGTGGTCTCACATATGATGGTCCGTCTTCCATCAGCTTTTGGGACTGCTCACTCTCCCCCAACTGATTTTTCATGCTGCTTATATATTGTCTAGCCTGATTTGCCTAACGTCGGCGTCGAAAGAGACTTGGAACAGTTTAAAGAATACTTCGAAAATCCTGCGTTCAGGTCTGATGGGTTAAAGATCTATCCACTCCTAGTAATCCGAGGCACGGGTGAGTTTGAGAAATAAAAATGGAAAAGACGCAGAATAAGTAAGAAAGACATTGCGTTGATCTTTGTCAATTGGATTGAATTGAATAGGTGTCTATGAGTTATGGCGGACGGGAAGATATAAGAACTATACGCCGAATGCATTAGTGGATATTGTGGCCCGAATCCTAGCCTTGATCCCACCCTGGACACGAGTATACCGAGTGCAACGCGACATCCCGATGCCATTAGTATCCTCGGGGGTTGAGAATGGGAATCTTCGAGAGCTAGCATTACAGCGACTGAAAGATTTCGGGGCGGTGTGTCGGGACATCCGACATCGAGAGGTGGGGATCCATGAGATCCATTTCAAGGTCCGGCCCGACCAGGTCGAGCTCGTCCGCAGAGACTATGTTGCCAATGGGGGTTGGGAAACTTTCCTCTCTTATGAGGATCCTGCTAAGGATATCCTCATCGGTCTGCTCAGACTCAGGAAATGCTCCCCTGAAGGCACCTTTCGTAAGGAGTTACTCGAAGATGGTCCCACCTCTATCGTCCGTGAACTTCACGTCTATGGCACCGCTATCCCTTTGCACAGTCGTGACCCTACCAAAGTCAGTCTAAATTTCCCTTTTCACCTGAACAAATAAGGCTCCTTTTTCATTCAGATCCTCATTTTTATTATATTTTGAAAAATTGGATTAGTTTCAACATCAAGGATTTGGAACTCTATTGATGGAAGAAGCTGAGAGGATTGCAAGAGAGGAACATGGTAGTCTGAAACTAGCTGTGATTTCTGGTGTGGGTGTTCGGCATTGGTATGCGCGTTTGGGATACAAGCTCGACGGCCCTTATGTCAGTAAAATGTTGTGATCCCTTTCTCTCTTTCTCTTCTTTTTTCTAGTTTTCGTTATCGTCCTAGTCTTTGGAATACTGTACTTTCTTCACTTAAAACAATTTGTCAAAAACATAATCAAAAGATCAAAGCCTTTTTGATTCATGCATTTTTTCGGGGGTGCTGTTAGCTTGTGGGATGTGCAATTCTAAGTCATATGCTAAACATATCGGCGCAAAAACTTGGATCATCATCCTGCACTGAACATGATCACAAAGCCTGGTAAGTGACACCATAATAACAGATCAGGAATAAATGGTTCCTAGTGGCCAGGAAGTAGCCTGTGCCATTGCTAGTGATGATGCTCAATTCATGGGGATGGTACCATTGTCATTAGTCTTTCAGGCTACACATTGTCTACATGTTGTTCTTAAACTAAGGACTAGATTTGCAGCCAAGCTGACTTGGAATTATTGTGGCCATAGATTCTTTAGTCACTCACTGCAACTATGAGCCCCTCTACATCTAGCATGGGTCTCACAAGATTGCATTTCACAGGGAGAGCAACTCCACTTGGAAGTGTAACATGTGAGTGTAAAGCTTGTGTGATGTTTCCCCAATCTTGGGTACACCTGAAGCAAGTAAAATACGTCGGGTTGTAAAATGTATGTGGGTGCAAA